AATAAGAATGCAAAAGGATAGGAATAAAAGGGCTCAGGGAATCTGCCAGCATTCCCTTAAAATCAGGAAATGAGCATCTTCCAAAACAGAAAAAATGGACAGCTGTCCAATTTCTGGCACCTTCCTAAAATAGAAAAATAGACAACTGTCTACTTTCAGGATATTTCACTCTCATCCTTATCTATTTATAATCAAATTGGGATAGTTGTCCCTGTTCTAGAAACTTCCTATGTATTTTACCTCTTCTTTTTTTTTTTTACCTAATTTCAATTATTTCATTACACTTTAGCCCCTTTTTCTAGAAACTTCCTGGACAGCTGTTCAGATTCTCTAGTTTTGGTCTCTAATTAACCCCCTTAAAGTTCTATTTATTACCCTTTCACCCCCTTAATTCATTCAAATATCAGTAATCAAATAACTAAGACCAAATTAAAGATCACACAAACAGAAACAACCTAATAATTGAACTTAGCTAAATCATTAAACTAATTAAAAATGATTCGCATAATCTAAAATAACATGCAATTAACTAATTAATCCTATCTTAATTGAACTAATCCAAATAACAGTTAAACGTCTAAATCAGTTATTTTAAAAATCAGAAAAAGAAAAGAAACAAGGAATAGACTGTGAACCAGAGAATGAGAGTGCACATCGATTTGAAACATCACCCGGTCACCAAAAGTCCTCGTGCCAAGAGACCCGTCCAGAACTTGAGTCCCTGATGGGACATCCTGGCATGAGGACCTTTGAAAAACCAGATACGGGAATGGGGGGTTCGATCTTTCTGTTCTTGAGAGAGACGGGGAGGAGTATAGAGTTTTTGGAAATTTGGATCTAAGATTCAACAAATTTGGTGGGGGGTTTTGGGAAATCTATTGGTAGGATAAGATTTAAGAGGGTATGGGGAGTATATGGTATAATTTTGGGCGGGTTTAGAGTGTCGCCGCCGCCGTAAGCGATTTCCGGCGGCGGGGCTAGGGTTTCTGGGATCTAAGATCTGTTGANAAAATCAATGGCTAAGATCGTCGTTACTAAAACGACGCCGTTTTGGTTAAGTGAGGAGTTGGACCGGACTGGGATTTGGGCTGTTCTGGACTGGGTGTGTGGGATTGGGCTGGTTAAAAATTGGCCTAGTCCAGCCAATATTTAACTTAACCCACTTTTGTTTAATTAACCATAAAAATCTAATTAATTTAATTAAATTCTAAATTAAGTACTAAAATATCTTAAATTGTAAAATTAAACTAACTATCTATTTGTACTATTTTTATAATTAGCCAATCTTAAATTATTTAAAAGAAAAATTACTAATTTTAACACTAAAACTAAAAAGTGTTAAAAATAAATAATTTTTGTGATTTTCTTCTAATAATATGATCAAATCATGTAATTAGGTGCTAGATTCAATTAAAACCTAATACTGCTGTATGATGAAGATTTAAATATTTTTGTTATTTTCTATGATTTCAAAAATGCTAAAAATGCATGAAAAATACAACTAAATGCAAATAATTGCGAATAATTACCAAAATTTAAAAAATATTAAGAAAAAATCTATTTATTAATTTTTGTGGGAGTGTTTTTAGTGAGGTAAAAATCACATGCTCACAAGAAGATGACATAGCTGCTTTAAAAGTTTGAGGCTCATTTTCAAGCAAGAAGGTCACAAAATCTAGTCCAAAGGAAGCAGATGCTCTTTGACGTTTGCTACCCCTTGGATCCTGTTCACTTGGAGTATTTCTTTTGGTTCTTTCCCTGGTCGTTTAGGTATTTCACTTGATGGCTCACATTGAATTTTATACGGATAAATATTTTCAAAGAATTCAGCATTATCTGATTCAACTACCGTATTAACATGAACTTCGGGATTATCAGAATTATGAACCAAAAACCAACATGCTTTACTGTTTGTAGCATATCCAATAAAAATACAATCCAAAGTTTGTGGTCCGATTTTTACCCTTTTAGGTAAAGGTACTTGTACCTTTGCTAAACACCTCCACACTTTGAAATATTTTAAGTTGGGTTTTCTTTCTTTCCATTTTTCATATGGAATATATTGCGTTTTGTTGTGGGTACTCTGTTAAGTATTCGGTTAGCTGTAACGATAGCTTCTTCCCCCCTCCCCCCACACACACAAATTCTACGGTAATCCAGAACTTATTAACAAAGATTCCATCATTTCCTTTAATGTCCGGTTTTTCCTTTCCGCAATTCCATTGGATTGAGGTATGTAAGGGGCAGTAGTTTGATGGATAATTTCATATTCTGAATATATTTCTGCAAATGGAGATTCGTATTCTCCACCCCTATTACTTCTAATTATTTTAATATTTTTATTCAATTAATTTTCTACTTCATTCTTGTATTGCTTAAATGTTTCAATTGCTTCTTCATCCTTACTATTAAGCAAATAAACATAACAATATCGAGTACAATCGTCAATAAAAGTTATAAAATACTTTTTTCCACCACGAGATGGTCTTGACTTCATATCACAAATATCAGTATGAATTAAGCCTAAAGGATTTGATTTTCTTTCAACAAACTTATAAGGATACTTTACAAACTTAGATTTAACACATATTTAATATTTTGATTTATTAAACTCAAATTTAGGCAATACTTCTAAATTAATTAACTTCCGCAAAGTTTTATAATTGACATGTCCTAAACGAATATGCCATAAATAATTTAACTTCAATAAATAAGAAGAAACTAAAATTTTATTAGTACTGTCAACAACCATTACATTGAGTTTGAAAAGGCTCTATATGAGGTAGCTTTTTCCAACATACATATCATTCTTGCTTACACCAACTTTGTCAGATACAAATACACATTTGAATCCATCCTTAACAAGTAAAGAAGTTGAAACTAAATTTTTCCTGATAGTGCGAACATGAAGAATGTTGTTGAGCGTTAACACCTTACCGGAAGTCATATTCAGGAATATCTTCCCAAAACCCTCAATCTTGGCTGTTGCAGTATTTCTCATGGAAAGCACTTTTCGGGACCAACAGTAGAGTAAGTCGCAAATGCTTCTTTGACAGCACAAACATGTCGAGTGGCTCCAGAGTCAATCCACCACTCCTTCGAATTTCCAACTAAGTTGCATTCCGACAGCATTGTACACAGATCATCAACGTCATCATTCTTCTCCACTGTGTTGGCGTGTCCCTTTTTCTGGTCTTTTTTCGGGAGACGACAATCAGGGGCTTTGTGACTAGCTTTTCCATAATTGTAGCAGTTACTCTTGAATTTTTCTTGTTCTGCTCCTTAGTCTGTTCAGAAGATCTCTTCCTCTTCTTACTTTTTGGAGCAGTCTCCTCAATGATATTAACTCACATAATCGTTGAACTTTCACGAGACTTATTCTCGGCTGTTTTATTATCTTCTTCAATCTTGAGACGAATCACAAGATCTTCCAACTTCATTTCTTTATGCTTGTGCTTTAGATAGTTTTTCAAATCTCTCTACGACGGAGATAATTTTTCAATCATTGCAGCCACTTGAAATGTTTTATTCACTACCATACCTTCAGCAATAAGATCGTGAAAATAAGTTGAAACTCTTGAACTTGGGTTCCAATGGTTTCACTGTCTATCATTTTATAGTCTAAAAACTTGGCAACCACAAAGTTTTTCAAACACACATCTTCAGTCTTGTACTTCTTAACAAGTGCATCCCATAATTCTTTCGAAATATTCATAACATTGCAGACTTTGTACAAGCCATCCTCTAAAATACTTAGGATGTAGCATTTGCAAAGAAAATGTGCTTGTTTCTATGTCTCAACAATCATAAACTTCTCATTGTCTGGCATGTCGGCGGCATGCACTGAAGGGTCTTCACTGGTAAATATCTGCATACCAAGTGTGGTAAGCCAAAAAAATACCCTTGCTGCCATCCTTTGAAGTTGGCTCTAGAAAATTTCCCCGATTTTTCGACGTGTGGTACAACAGTTTGGCTTGACAAGGCTATCGTCATTGCCGCAATAGTCGTAGAAGCATTTCCATTATCAATTGCCATTTCTCACTGTCAACAATAGAATAGTTCAATTAATGGCAAAAAACAGAACAATAAATATTAGTGTAATTAATAATAAACAATACGTTTAATAGACAAAAATCGAAGTTTTTATATACTATTTCACAAGAAAACGATGAAATTTTTATGTTCTTCAAATCGTTTCTGAATTTTAATACTTCGATAAAATTTTTATATCTTCAAATCAGAAATAGAAAAATTCAGACGGAGTAGAAAACCACAAAGGTTTTAATCTCCAAAGCAGTATACAGATTACATTATAAAAATAATTTTCTTAAGATTGTTAGTCAAACTGTAATACTATAATATAATAAAACGGTAAATTTTCTGTAATAGAAAAACAGAAATAGAAAATCAGCAGTAACAGAATGTCGAAATAATAAAACAGAAGCTTAAAATTATTTCGGAATGAAATCGAGCCCATTAAATGCATAGTGTATCCTTAAGGAAATCATTCCCCTCAAGTACCCGAGGTGTTGGAATATTATCCTCCTAGGATAGAACGACTTAACTAACTAGTGTATCGGTACAAAAAAACTCTGATGAACTGCGAACCACTTAATGGCTGTAAATCACACTGGAATTTATTTGCGCAGAAGAAGAAGAAGATCAGAAAATTTCGTAAAGAAAGATTCTGGGATCAAGGCATATTTATAGTCATTTTCTAGCACTGCACTTTTCGTTAATTAATTAAATAATTGAAAGAAATTTTGTCCAAAAAGATTAATCAATCAATCATTGACCGAAGCCAAAGCCGAGCCGAGCGAGCGACGATGACGATGATACAAGGCTTACTTTCTTTCCAACTTTTTTAACACCAAGGGAAGTGCTTTCTCAATATAAGTGCATTCTCTTTTCTTTCTACCACCAATGAGGGACACTTGCTCTTTCCAAAGCAAAAGGGAGCTCACTTTCTTCCCTCTATTTCCCATTCGCCAACTTCAATCCCACAATTACCAACCTTGCCAACATAATAATACTAAACCCATTTCAAAAATTCGGAAAGAAAGTGCAATACGAGTAGTAACTAAGAAAACTGTAACTGTATGCTAGTTTTATATATATTTCCACTAGCGAGGGCTATAACTGTAATCTGTATATACAATGTGCATCAGGTCTAACGAACCCGCCGTTAGGTACGGAATCCTTCAAAATACTTATTAACGAACCCTGTAATCACTAGGCTAGATTGTTTGTTATGAAATTAATAAAATACTTATTCATCTAATCCAAAATTCATATTTGTGCTAAATCAAGAGTAACTTATCTTTTCTTGTTTCTAGTTAACGAAACAACTGTTAACAGGCTATGTTGAGTAAATTTAACTTACCTTGTTCTTCCCCACTTTATAAATTCCTTTGTGAAAATAGGTAGAACCTTACTTCTTTTTTTTCCTTCTATTCTCTTTGTTTATTATTCTTTTTCTTTTTTGGTTTTGTTTTTATTAGTTTGTTCTTCTTTTTTTTAATTACTTAATTGCTCTTATTTAAATATAGGGTATTACAAATATATACTTGAAAAAAAAAATTAACCTTATATATCTAGTATAATTTTCTGCCAAAGGGTTCGCTGAACCCTCTTCCGCCCAAATAGCTCTGTCCGCAGGGGCGGAGCTAGCCCTTTCGATACGGGTTCGGCTGAACCCAGTAACTTTTATCCAAACTCTGTATTTATCTTACAAATTTATTGAATTATGCACAAATTATTAATTTAGAACCCAGTAACTTAAAATAATTAGAATACTAAACCTATAATTTTCAAATCCTACCTCTGCCTTTGTCCATGGTTGTTATTAAACGAATCCATAGACGGACAGAGGTGATTTTCAATACACACTAATTAGAAATAACTAGTAGTAGTTGGATTAAAAAGGCCGATAATTTTATTGTAAGAAACAGCGGGGAAAAAGAAAGAAAAAGCGTGTTAGTATCTTGAAAGTCTTGAAACATCAGTCGACTGCCCATGCAACAGATAAACATACATTGCAAATGAATTTTTTCATTGTGATTCTTTTGACTGAAATTTAGGCAGATAAACATACATTGGAAAAGTTCGGACCATAATGTTTTAGGTTAAAGTCTACGAAAACAAAACTATAAGAGCTCCAATATTGAGTCAGAGCCAACAATACTGCAGACCCTGAGTGTAAAAACTAGAGAGTCAATTTGCTCTGAGACTTGTTAGATAAAAAATAGCAGAATATGGGGAACGAAATAATCCTTGATAATGTAGTCACTGTCTTTAAAGTATTTAAGTCTCTCATTTTCGTTGCCAGAATTGCTCTAGAATTCTACAAAGCCTATGAAATTCGAGTACTAACAATTAACTCGAATTTTCACTAAAAGAAACTTTGTGAATTGCAGATAGCAGCAGGAAAACTGTTGCTTTCTGCTGTGTTTCATTTTGGAGAGGAAAGTGGGTATTTCTGTTAGACTTAACCCTTGCCATCAGGCACCTTTTTAAAAACCAACAGGCACCTTTTTAGTTTAAATAAATTGTTTAAACCGTTTTTATAATTTAAAAACATTTTTATTAAATAATGAAAATAATAGGTGACTAAAAATATTAATTTTGGACTACTTAATTAGCCCAAGGCACAAATGCTCAATCTTGACTATTAATAATATAGTCAAATTCTATTTTCTCTCCAAAATATCTTTCAAAATATTCAAACCATGTAAGACAAATTCTTTCTTTCTTTATTTTTCCGGGGAGGGACAAGTTTCCTCCCCTTAAAAGCTAACCTATCAACACTAACTAATCTAACAAAACTTAATTCCACGTCAAAATGAGATGAAAAACTTAGGGCAGATAAAGTTGGAGCAACAGTAAAGTTGTCTCCGTGTGACCTACATGCGTGGACGCAGCCACTAATGCTTGCATTAGGCTAAGTTATCTACATCACACTCGTAGGGGGTGCGACCCTTCACCGGATCCTGGAGGCGTCTTTTGGACTCAATTCACTGTGAGACTTAAACAAATTCCACATCTGAATGGGAGGGAAAATATGGGGCCTTTAAGGGCGCATTCAGGAATTCAACTATAGGACAATGCCTCGACAGTTATGCCTGGGCGTTACTGCTTTGATGCATACTGGTGTGTCAATGACGAAAGATACATGATCAACGTTAAACTCAATTATGGTATATTGTTAGTAGAGAACTAAATAGACAGGTCTTACTTCACTTTCTGCAATATTTCGTGAAGCAAATCCCATCATCTGAGTTTCTATGGGTATATTCATTGGGCTATTCAGTCAAATTCCTACCATTTCTGTTCTTTGTATCCTTTTTCTTGTCATTCAATTGGAAATGTTTGAAGTTAGAGTCGTTTTAACCCCATATTGTGGGGTGAGCATGTGAGAATGCTGAAATGATGTATTTTGATAGGTAACTTATCCAAACATGATGGAATTTTTTGTGTTCCTTGGAGCTGATACGGAGATCTCCGATATGTCATTTTCAGTGAGCTTAGACCATGGCCATGGTTGCGAATGGGGTACCCGAAATGGATTCTCTAGTTTGTTTGCACAGAAGAAAAATGTGTTGAATCCATACTTTTGGCAAATGATTAGAGAAATTAGCAAGTTCAAGCAGGATGTCACAAGGTACTAACAACTTATTTATCTTTATATATGTGACTACTTATCATTAATCAATTCCATTGACCAATTTGTTGATTTTCTGATCTCATTAGAAATTTAGAGCACAGAGTCTCTTTGTTCATTTGAACATCATGCATTTGATTAAAATGGACTAAATCGTTCTGTTTTGTACGCTTTCTTTATATATGTGTCAAGGAAAGAGCTATCTCCAATGAAGTTTATTTTGTAACGAATACTTTTCTGACTGCATTGCAGCTACCTTGAAGCACTTGACAACAATCCTGACATTGATTGCGACAAAACAATAGGGCAATTTATTAAGTCACATGGCTATTCAGAGTTATTTCAGAAGTCTTATCTGGTGACATGCTGTTTGTCGTAGTTCTTGATTTTGATATATATACTTGTATTGCCCTTTTTGTTCATTCAACTATTGTCGAAGCAATTTACACATATGTTTAACAGATTCCAATATGCTCTTCAATTTGGTCATGCCCCTCGGAAGGAGTAATGGGCTTTTCTGCTTATTCCATTCTTTCATTCTTCCGCGACCACCATCTTCTTCAGGTTTCTTTTTCTCTTATCTACTGTTCAATTAGCATACATCGTGTGTAGATTACATATATCATTTTATTGTCTTTGTGCCAAAGGGTGCTTTTGTTTCTTTCTTTACAGCTCTTTAGTCTCCCTCAATTGCTCACTGTAAGATGGAAATCATATGCATATGTAAACAAGGTGATTTTCTTAATTCATAGATACCTCGAAGTTTTTACTATTTTTCTGAGGAAAACTTCAGGCAATTACCACTTTTCACTTTCTTGCATGATTTGTTATGTTAAGCATATATCATCCTTGAGAATGATTTGATGGGGGCACTGGATTCAGGTTAAGGAGGATCTGGAGAAGAGAGGCTGCCAAATAAGAACTGGTTGTGAAGTAAATTCTGTATCGACAAATGAAGAAGGTCTAACTTGATTTTATTTATGGCTTCTTGCAAGAGTTCACTGTGCTGTTTCTTTTATCTTAATAGTAGATAGGCATATATCTGTTGGGAAACGGATAGGCTATTTTACCTGAGGGCAATTTATAAATGAAAAACTCTCTTTCATTTTATGTGTTGAAAATGGTCCTTTGGAAAGGTAAAACCAGAAATGATGAAGATGGTTTTCATTGATATCTATTAGTGTAACACGATGGTGTCTGGGATAGCTTGCACACACCTCAACTATTCCATCGGGTGACTGTTACCTCCCATCAGCACAGGTACGGGGTTGCTCTTCCGCCAAGGCTTAGGCGCAGGTGGGAAGAAATCATGTACTGATTTTAGTCTGTGTCGGGATTTGAACCCTGGTCTCCAAAGTTTGCACCACCTCATTGACCACTATAAGAACATGTGTTTTTTAGTTTATATTCATTTTATGATATTGTTTCAAGTGATAGTGGTCTAGATAGAGCTTATTTTGGTGCTCATCCAAGGGGAAAACTTCAATCAGCTGCATTGTGTTACCATCACATAGCTACGAACTGCTCATGATTCTAACTGTAAAAGAAAGAGCCCGTGCAGGTTGTACCATAGCTTGCAATGATGGTGCCAAAGAAGTATATGATGGATGCGTAATGGCTGGACATGCTCCAGATACTCTGAAAATGTTAGGCAAAGAGGCAACATATGATGAAACAAGAATTCTGGGTGCTTTCCAGTATATCTGTAGGTACTTTCGACTCCTGTACAGTATAGAGCTCCTCTAAGTAATGGTAATAAATGTATAGCCATGTTCCTATTTGTATTTTCTGTTACCAGAGGAGCTCTATTTTGTGCTTTAGTGAAGTTAGGTTAAAATGCATGTTTTAATGGTGGCTGGTTGTAGTCAATGTAACAGCTACAACCTGCTGATTTCTGAGCTAATATGACAATCGTACTGGAGATCATGATCAATATAGTTAGTAATGCCACCTCACGAGCACTACATAATCTTGAAAAAGCCCTATTTCTTATTTCTCTTGCTGCCTGGTTCGAAAGAAGTGAGTTGGTGGATTGGACCATAGTCTTAATAAGATTTATGATGTTGCAAAAATCATTTTTTCTTCCTCTACGACAGTGATATTTTCCTTCATCGTGACAAAACATTCCTGCCTCGCGACCCAGCAGCATGGAGTGCTTTGAACTTTCTTGGAACCATGAATAGTAGAGGAAGCATGACATATTGGCTCAATATAATCCAGGTGTGTTATGCAATACAGTGATTTAAGACCTTATATAGAAAGTAGAAGATAATGTTCTTCAGCCGGGAAGTCTTTTCTCTATTTAACTATCCTCTTATCTTTGAAATGTATAAACCTACAGAACCTTGGTGGGACGGAGCAACCTTATTGCGTAACTCTTAATCCTCCTCACACACCAGAACATACGATGCTTAAGTGGACCACAGGCCACCCAGTACCCTCAGTTGCTGCATCGATAGCTTCATCCGAGCTACATCAAATCCAAGGGAAGAGAGGAATATGGTTTTGTGGAGCATATCAAGGTATGAATCTCCTTTTATGCAGAGTACGGAGAGTTGCTTCAAGATGGAAATTCCTTTGTAACCTTCTATCTTGCCTAGTGTTGAGTGTGCGAACAAAGTCCCACATTGGTAGCTGGAAAAAAAAGGAAGCGACATATAAGTTGTAGGGATACTCTTAATGGTGTGAGGCCTTTTGGAGAAAACTGCGCGAGCTTGGCCCAAAGTGGACTCCGGACTTTTGATAGTTCTCTCCTGGCTCTTCACGGATAAAATGACTCCGATACTATTTAGATGAAATAGCCCTAAGCCGTTGGGATTAAGGGGACTAAACCAGCAGTCAAGCTGTCTTTGCAAAGAGAGATTCATTCCCTTTTTTGTTTTTCTTTCCGTTTCAACTTGATGCCAGTGAGTGAGCACAAGATCCTAGTGCCTTGGTCTATACACTGTTTTTTTCCGCATAAGGTTAAAGGAAAACAACTGCTAATGCTTGTAGCTTGAGTTGTTCTGACTTTAGTCTTTCCTTCCCTTTAGTGCAGACTCTATTTTCCGCTTTGAGTTTCACTGCTTATTGATGTATATTTATTGCAATACGTTCAGGCTATGGCTTACATGAGGATGGACTAAAGGTAGTACTACTTCTGCTAATAACTTGAACTATACCTTACTCTGAAAGCAATTTGGAGTCTTTTCTAGCTTTTGTTGTCCCTTTGTTGTCATGTGGATGATTATCTATTTGCTCCTCCTCAGGCGGGTGTGACTGCTGCAGATGGCGTACTTAGAAGGAATTGTAGTATTCTGGACAATCCCAAACACATGGTACCAACCTGGCCTGAAACAGGAGCACGTCTCCTCGTTACTAGATTTCTCAAAAGTTTCATTGAAACAGGATGCATAATGTGAGTGATAATAGTTTCACCTTGTATTGCTTTAATCCTAAAATAGTAGCAGATACATATCTAACATCTTGTTTATTTCCATCTATCCTATTTCTTATTTTATCACATTTGGTCTTAATTATTCATGCTGAAAATGTTGTACTCGCGCATATTTGAGTTTCTTTTTTCTAATATTGGATTGTAACTTCATAAATTTTTTGTTACACAGCTTGTTGGAAAATGGAGGTACAATTTTCACCTTCCAAGGAACAGACAAGAAATGCTCTCTCAAAGTTTCTCTTAGAGTTCATAGTACACAGTTTTACTGGAAGGTAACTTGAAAGTTTCTTTTGCCCCCAACAAGTAGGGCAGCCCGGTGCACTAAGCTCCCGCTATGCGCGGTGTCCGTGGAAGGGCCGGACCACAAGGGTCTATTGTACACAGCCTTACCCTACATTTTTGCAAGAGGTTGTTTCCACGATTCGAATCCGTGACCTCCTGGTCACATGGCAGCAACTTTACCAGTTACGCCAAGGCTTCTCTTCCTGCCCCCTACAAGTAATTGAGCGATAAAGCCAAAAAGAAAAGTTAAAAGTTTCCCAATTTAGACAAATCCTGTGATATAGATAATTTGTTGCAGGTTGCAACTCAAGGTGACTTAGGCCTTGCAGATGCTTTTATTCATGGGGATTTCTCTTTCGTCGACAAGAATGAAGGTCTTCTTAATCTTTTCATGGTAAGAAAATGACTCAATGTCTTTGTAAATAGCTATTGGTTTGTACTTAACTTCCTGAAATTCCTTTTCAGATATTTGTTGCCAACAGAGATTTGAAAGCATCAGTCACAAGGTCTAGTAAGAAAAGGTAAGTAGTTTATTAAAACTGAAATTAGGAAATTGCAACTTAGTTCATACGTTAAAAATTATTTGTTACTTTGTTCTCCAGAGGCTGGTGGACACCACTGCTTTCTACAGCAGCATTATCATCGGCAAAATATTTCATTCAACATGTTTCAAATCAAAACACCCTGACAAAGGCTCGACGGAATATCTCTCGCCATTATGACCTGGTAATTAAATAACTTGCATCTTATATCAGCCAAAGTATGTAACAGATGTCAAAGATCACTATTGAAATAGAAGTTACTTAGTCCTGCGTATATTTTTTATTGTAGATTAATCTCTTCCTTCTGTTTTCATGTAATTTTCTCTGTTTAAAATAGGCTGCAAGATTAATCAGCATTGTGTTAACTTTTTGTTCAGAGTAATGAACTCTTCTCACTCTTTCTGGATGAGACAATGACATACTCATGTGCAATATTCAAGGTTAGCTCTCAAATTTTTTAATGCTTGCCACCTTTTTTTCGCCTTATAATTTTAAACTACATTCCTGTTTTTTATAATCTCATTCCCTATCGTTACTGCTTCCCTTTACATGGATTCTTCTCTTTACATGTTTTTCTTGAGCCGAGGGTCTATCGGAAACAATCTCTCTATCTTCACAAGGTAGGGGTAAGGTCTGTGTTCACACTACCTCCCCATACCCACCCGTGAGACCACACTGGATTTGTTGTTGTATAATCTCATTCCATGGTGTTTAATTTTCTTTCTTGATTTTTGTAGAGTGAGAATGAAGACCTGAAAGTTGCACAGCTTAGAAAGATTTCTCTTCTCATCAAAAAGGTAAGTGATCAAGTAAGTAAAAATCACACCCCTTTCGACATAAATTTCAGGCCTAATTTGATTCTGCTTCTATTTTATTTAGGCTAAAATTAGCAAGGAACATCACATTTTAGAGATTGGATTTGGTTGGGGAAGTTTGGCTGTTGAAGTAGTCAAGCAAACAGGATGTAAATATACTGGTGTAACTCTCTCCGAGCAGCAACTAAAGTATGCACAATCAATAGTTCAACAAGCAGGCCTTCAGGTGTAGTACTTACAATGTCTATTGTAAAGCTAGGGTTATCTACAATATTCAATTCAATGAAACTTTTTTACAGGATCAAATAACATTTCTCCTATGTGACTATCGCCAAATGCCAAATAACTACAAATATGACAGGATTATATCATGGTGAGGTTTTATCCGTCTACGTCTGGATATATTGTATTACTCATTACATGTCGAGCCTATGTTTTTTTTCATCTACTCTCTAGTCGAGGGTCTATCAGAAATAGTCCCTTTGCCCTTTCAGGGTAGGGGTAAGGTCTACGTATACATTACTCTCCTCAGACCCCACTTGTGGGAACTCAGTGGGTTTGTTGTTGTTGTTGTTGTTGTACTCATTACATGTCGAGCAAGTGTTAAAATTGTACTAATGATCATTTTCAGCGGGATGTTAGAACATGTTGGTCATGATTTCATAGGGGAATTCTTTTCTTGTTGTGAAACTGCGCTGGCAGAGGATGGGCTTCTAGTTGTACAGGTAATGAATTAAAGTGGCCTCTTAACACATTCCACTTTGTTCACTTTTCCTTTCAAATTTTTTATGCTGATTTTCAAAGTGTTGGCTTTCCTTAGTTCATTTCAATACCAGACGAGAGATACGAAGAATACAGGCGGAGCTCAGACTTCATAAAAGAGTATATATTCCCAGGTGGATGCTTGCCTGCACTAAATCGAGTAACATCAGCTATGGCTGCAGCATCCAGACTATGGTAACAAAGATTTCATTTTGTGATTTTGCACCAGCACGCTTGTCACATTTTGTTGTTGTTGTTACTACTTGTGGCCAATGCTTCTTTTCATCTACTCTCTAGCCTAAAGTCTATCGGAAACAGCATCTCTGCTCTTCCAGGGTAGGGGTAAGGTCTGTGTACACATTACCCTGCCCAGACCCCGCTTGTGGGAACTCACTGGGATTGTTGTTATTGTCGTTGTTGTTGTTATGCTTGTCACATTTTCAGAAGCATTTCTTTCTGAAAGCATTTGATAAATGATATAAATGCAGTGTAGTGCACCTGGAAGAGATAGGAATTCACTACTATCAGACGTTGAGATGTTGGCGAGAAAAATTCTTGAAAAATCAAAGGTAACAAGATCAAAATAAGTCCAGAATGGTCCTTGTAGCTTGATCAGTTTTAAATGCTTATACTTGACTATTGATAACTGTGTCACTAGCCAAATTCGTGCTTTGGGATTCGACGACAAGTTCATACGAACATGGGAGTACTACTTTGATTACTGTGCTGCTGGATTCAAAACGTGCACACTAGGAGATTATCAGGTATATGCTGATAAATCTTTGAAAACTTAAGCAGTCCAAGTAGAGACATGACTCCTATTTATTAAATTATGTCTTCAATAGTAAATACATGCATTTATCCATTATCTTTTTACAAGAAATCTTGAAACTATCTCACTAAATCTGAGAAGTAAGTAAAACAACTTATAAAGGGTGCTTCTATCTTGTAGATTGTATTCTCAAGGCCAGGCAATGTTGCAGTTTTTGGTGATCCTTACAATGGTGTGCCTTCAGCTTATTAAAGTTTCTTTGTTTGGAATATTGGAACACAACAATTAAGCCAGATGTGTGTCAATGGTGTTGGGCTAGACCGGCACAAAGATACTTTTAAAATGGTGTGCTTCAACTTATATTGAGAAGTGCTTTTTGTAAAAGTATTCTTTATTGAGAAACAGTTTGTGTTTGGATAAATTAATTTTCATTTTTGTGAATTTCGAAAATTCATAATATTGCTTGTTTTTTTTGGGTCAAACTGAATTTTTTTATTCAACGAGGCATAGTTATGTACATCAACTAGTTCTTTTTGACTCTCGAACTAGCGCTCCAAAAAAAGAAACTATTCCTAACCTATCTATCTATCTATGAAGAGACGTAGGCATTTTTGGCGTATTACATCAAGATAGGGAGACTATTCAAACTACTAAACAGCTTTCTCCAGTGTCGATTGTGCTGTCCTCTGATGTGTAGTTGTAGGACAATCTCTCTGATTCTATGAGCTATCTCTCTTTTGCGGTTTTGAAATAGTCTGACATTTCTTTCCTTCCATATGTGATAGACAGAAGCCGCAAATAAGAAGCTGAGAACTCCAGCTCTAGCTTTGCTATTTTTTTGTTCGCTTGTCCATCTGTTAACTTCATCTTCCCATGTGCCCATTTGTCTCTTTTCACCCATCCACGTTAGTAGGGACTTCCACAAGCATTTAGAGTAGAAAAGATGTTCTGCGGTTTCCTCCAACCCTGATTCACATAACACACGTGTGCTTGGCACATGTATGCCCCACTTTTGTAATTGATCAACTGTAGCCGGCAAAATACACTGTGTAGCTATTTAAAAAATAAATTATATGTATATATACTATGTATTGACTCCCCTTAATTTTTTGGTATGTTTACTTTTATATATTTTGACACCCCTTAACGATGTCACGTCAGCAGGCAAGGTTCAAGTACAAAACTCTTCCAAGATACCCTTCGATACTGTGGGAGCAAGGCCAGATATGCTTTCTTTATAGAAAAGCTCCCATATATAGTCCTTTGGCAATTCTGCTCTAGGTTCATATTTGGGTATCATTTCCTGGCTTCAATTATTTTCCTAACTATCCAGCTGGATTGTTGCTAAAAGTAGTAACAATTAATATTTGACCAAGCTTTTTCAAAAGTGATTCTAAGTGTATTTTTCTCAAAAGTGTTTCTGGGGAGAATCTAATTTTTTCTACTTCTCAAAACATGTTTCTGCTTCTACTTAAAATTTAAAAGTAATTTTTTTTTCTCCCAAAAACTTGACCAAACACCTCAATTTTGAAAAAACGAACTTTTTTTGTTTTAGTAAAAAATAATAATTTTGACTTTGGAAAAATTAGGCCAAACATGCTATAAAAATTATTCAAGGAATTTACTATTTGACATAGGGAAAGGAGAGATTGAAAATTTTGAGTGAGCATTTAATTATTGGGTGAAGCTAATAAATTTTGTGGTTCTAGATACCAAATAAACCCTATAAAGGAAGCTACTAAAAAGCAGTCGGCTTTTTTTCTTCTTTTGCTTCAATAAACTCTGTTGTGCATTCCGATTAATATACACAGGTAGAGCTAAGAGTTCTAGTTATATATTCGGTAGAATTCATAGTTTTGACCCAAATCTATATTTTTGTTAAAAACTTTACTTAACGAGTACAAATTGTTTATCTAAAACCATTTTAGAAAGTATTCTGCCAGAACTTAATAATTATAATACAGGAGATAAAGTCTAACGGGTACGGTATTGGACTTTTACTACTGACATATAGTAATGGACTATTGTTTAATAGGTAGCATTAAATATAAAGAATAAAAAATTTAGATTTTTCTATATCCAAAAATTTGAAATACCAAATCCAACCTCCCATCTGAAATCCAAAAATTATAAAAATTAAATCTGAAATCTAATCCATAGTTCAAAAATCTAAACCAAAAAGAAGAAAAAAACAAATTTCGATTTAAATTTTGAATTTGCCAAAACTATGCCCAACTCCTAAATATAAATGTTTGGTTGAGACTTCAACTTTTTTGGGTACTCATCAATTTCTTCTTGATTTGCATTAACTGTGCAAAAAGTTTTTTATTGGTCTTGGAGACTTGTCAACTCTAGAAATTTCCCTAAGTAATTTGAGAGGGATGGCCGCTTTCGGTTTGTGTTTTTTTATTACAAAATTCTAAAGATGTGGTTAGGTTTGTCGTAAAAACTTCATGTTTGTGTCTTTCCTTTAATTAATTTAGGTTGACATTCCTTTTATAGATCTAGAGGTAATAATATAAGAAATAATGTCCTTACTTGGCCTTCTTAATTACTAGACAATCCTAGAAGAGGACCTACATTGTGTCTAGCAAGTATTCTTGAAGGGTAAATAGAAAAAACGTATTGAACAAGAAAAAGGAAAAACAAAAACTAAATTCTGGATAAATGCCCCTTCTTTCTATGGCTCCAATTCTAGTAGGGTAAGTAACTAAATATTTCTTTCATTAAACTACATAAAGGCATAAATCTGTGGCAGGACCTTGCATGAAATTAGTTCGTACTTAATGTGTAGTAGTCTTAATCGAAAATCCTTTTCAAGATAATTAATTAATTTTTTTTAAAAAAAAAGCATAATAACACAACATCTTATCTTATTGGGTGTGTGAACAAAGTTTCAAATAGAAAGTAGAAAAGAAAAATAAGTTACTTATAAGAAGTTGGATACTCTTAATGGTGTGAGGTTTATTAGAAAAATTCCATGCGGGCTTAACCCAAAGCGGACAATATCGTACCATATTAAGAGTACTTTTAGGTCGTTATAGCCCAATAACTGATATCAGAGACAATAGTTTGGCGGGATGAGTACGGAGATAGTGGAGTGATGGCGTAGGACCGGCTTAGTGCCTTTGCCTATCTATAGGTCGGTTTACTACGTTTACCCGTAACTTCAAAGACACATACATGGCCTCTCCGCTAGGCTTCGGTAACCATAAAAATTCGGATCATGTGGATTGCACACAGTTAATCTCCAAATTAGCCCATAAATAATGATGAGTCATGTGAAACTTATTTCAAAGGAGAGATTATTGGGTGTGCGTGAACAAAGTCCCTAATGAAAAGTAAAAAAGAAAAATAAGTTACTTATAATGGGGGAAAATAAAAAATAGCCTGATTTACAACTGATAACTGAAAATAGTCATAGTTTCAAAAGTAATTGAAATTTAGCCATTTTTCGTGTAAAGATAAAATCTAAACAAAAAAAACCTTAAAAATCCAGAAACATTCCAGCATAGTATGCTGTAGTTCGAATTTTTTATATATGAGATTCCAGTTTAATGTGTTGGAGTACCAAAATAATATGCTGGAAGTTTATACGCAGGAGCTCCATAATCCAGCATATTATGCTGGAACTTTTCGTGTTTAAGCTAAAATAGCGGTTATTTTTCAATAACTTTGCAAATGTTGGCTATTTTTTGATTACCTGTCCGAAAACTGACTAGCCCATGCATGTTCACCTTATAAGGAATTAGATACTCTTAATGGTGTAAGGCCTATTGGGTAATAACGTACGGCCTTAGTCCAAAGCGGACACTATCAGTCTATAACACCGTATCTTTGGGCCGTTTTAACCCAACGTATCCAAACAGAAGCTTGTGCAGGTTATAAATAGTCAACCGATTAGGAGATCTGATATTCCGTTCATCTTCAGAGAGCAAAGCGAAGTAGCTAATCTTCTGGGCAAAGCAATGCATTTGGCGCAAAGATATTAAAGGAGTTTCTTGTACTCTGTCACTTCATTTCCTTTCATACTGCATTTTTAGAATATCCTCAACTCTTAAAACTCACAGCAATATCCTTGAGGTACGTTTACCACCATTATAACACCCATCTTAAACACCAATAACTCCATAGCTATGCTCATCTAATGAGTGATATGTAATGTATAAATTAAAGATAAAGTTTACTCAGAGGTGGAGCCAGAATTTGAAACTTACGGGTTTAGTATTTTAATTTTTTTAAGTCATTGGGTACTAATTTAATAATTTGTGCATAATTCAATAATATTTTAAAACAAATATATGATTTAGACAAAAGTTCAGCCAAACCCGTATGTGAAGTGCTAGCTCCGCCGAGTTTACTGACTAGTGACTACTAATTACTTCTGTCCTTTTACCTCTTCTAATCTTGATTGTTATTGCATGCAGTTGTAAATTTGAAGCCTAAGTTTTAAACATGAAAGTAGCAGTGGTTGGGGCAGGGATAAGTGGACTGATTTCTGCATATGAATTGGCTAAATCTGGGGTTAAAGTTGTGGTTTATGAAAATGAGGATTATCTGGGCGGCCACGCCAAGACTGTCACTGTCGACTGCGTTGATCTTGACCTTGGTTTTATGATCTTCAATCGGGTAAGTACTTTTGACCAAGTGGTTTTTAAATTGATTAGGCAAAAAATAAATTACTACTTTCCAAAAGTATTTATGTAAATAACATATTTTAAAATAAGCAAATTTGTAAGTTTGACCAAACAGGCTCATATCACTATCTTTAACATCATAATAAACTATCTGATTATAATATATGGACCAAGTTGGATGTGGATTCAGAATTTAAATTCTATGGGTTCAACGTTTAAGGTTTTAGCATTAAACTTATTATACTTTTAAAATTATAGGTTCATGTATACTATTTATTGCAATTTTTAGTGAATTTTTATATATTTATGTTCTGCGTCGAATGCTATGGTTCAATCGAAAGCGGTACCAATATATTGGATCCACTCCTGCTTGCGTATGTATTAAGAGACTTTAAGGTGACCCAAATATTTAACTAATCTAATCTGTATAATGTTCCAAATAAGTGTCAAATCAAATAATATTAGGAAAAACTATATCTATGGTACAATAAAATAAAAAACCCATTGCTAAAGGTAAATGGTTTCAATTACTCTCTGTTTTAATTTAGATGACATATTTTTTTTAGTTTGTTCCAAAAAGAATGATACATTTCTACAAATGAAAATAATTCAATTTTAAACTCTTTATTTTACTCATTTTATCCTTAATTATAAGCTTTTATAATCATACAAATGTCATGGTCTTACAGAGCTTTTACCCCTTAAACTTCTAAGACCACAAATTTTAAAAGTCTTTTTTTTCTTAAACTCCGTACCGAATCAAACTAGCTTATCTAAATTGAAACGGAGAGA